ATTTTGACATTTCTGTGCATTTTCTAATGCTATTCTTCCCTCTGGGAACTGCTTTTCTTTTATTTCAATTATTTAGATTCAATCTAAAACCTACTTTAAGGTCCACATCAAACTTGCCTATGCCGTAAGAGAGAATCTGCTTTTCCAGGTGTAAATTCTTCTAACTCCTCTGTCTCTCTCTTGGGTTTATCATCACTGCTTCCCTGTAGCTGTTTTGTGTCAATGTCTTTTCTACACAAATTGACTATATTCCCGCAGGGTTGGAGCCTGACTATACTACTTCAAGGTTGAAGCTACCACAGTTACTCCAGATACCCTACAACATCAGCTTTAATAGAGGTGTATTGAATGAATAAGTGACCAAGAGTATTCTAGAATCACAGTATTGCAATACCAACTCAGACTATATGGGTGAGGAGAGTGCCCCTAATATCACGGTTAATTCTGAAGAAGACATACGCATCATTGCAGCAAATGCCAAAGCTCTGCCCAAATTATCCAGTTTATTCTGGGGCTACCCAAGATTCTCCCTGCTTAAGGTATTGTCAAAGTGCCAGGCCTAAGAAGATTTATGTAGTCCCTATGCTGTTAGCCAGAACCCCCATCTAACCATTTGTTATTGAGATACACACCATGTCCCTTAGCATATAGCTCAGACATACTGCAGGAAACATACTGCAGGAAAACAAAGCCAGGTAATTGTCTCATGCATCTTTTTGGCAAAGGTGACTAACCATTCTAGTAATAAACAGGGTGTTCTGACGTCCACTGTCAAAGAAACCTTAATAAAAATTCAAAGATCACACACATCCTCCCATTACCAGTCATCAAACGCTATCAATTTTACCATCTAAATGGCTCTCAACATCTATGGCCTTTTTACTTCCTATAGTTACCACCCTGGTTCAGGCTTACATCTTTCACCTGACTCACTACAATAGCTTTCTAAGGGTTCCCTCCACACTTGCCTCTTCCCCACTCAAAACTCCCTCTAACGCAATGCCAGGAGATCTTACAAAGACCACAACTGATTATGCCACTTCCCATCTTTGATGGCTTTCTTCTACCAGAAAAGCAAGTCTAAACTTCTCAGGGTGGCTTACCAGATCTTTCAGCTGAACTCTAGACTTTCCTACAGCCCACAGCCTTCATTCCCCATGAATCACCCAGTGCTCGAGTCATGCATCTTCCTGCGGGTCCCTCTGTCTTAAACGCTCCCCAACCTGCCCTTCTACGACTGTGAGCTATATCCTTCAAGGTCAAGCTCAGAAGTCCCCACTTAGTAACACATGCCCCCTCCTCTATTGATACAATCATAGAATTAAAACTAGGAAATAGGATGCCTTGAAGAGGTTCATTTCTTTAAAGAATTAATGACCAAATGTTAACCTCACTATCATAACAGAAGAAATAGCCAATTTCTGTCCTCTTCCTAAAATTCTCACATAATAATTTTCAACACTTAGGAATGAGTGCTGGCTAATTTTGCCTACAGCTAGTTCACAGAAAATAGGAAAACCAAGTGCTTCCTGAGAAACTTGTGATAATTATACATTTAACTTTTTAAATTTCAAAAACACCTTGGCAAAAGCACAGGAAGAAGTATTTCTTTAATTGCATGCATTTATAATCATGGAATTTACCAGCTCAAGCAAATATTAGAAATGCCTACTCAGAAAGCTCTAAGTCCCTTTAATTTGTAACAAGGCATACCAGCAACAAAAGCTTTATTCTACCAAATTCATGCCTTTCTCCATGCAGTACTACTCCAAAGTAGCATTCTCATTTTGGTACATATGTATAAAAAGGGATGTGGCATTCTAGAACTGGAGAAGCAATGCAGATTAGTAAAAAGGATGACTCAGTAGGCAACTTGGATGCTAGCTCAAATTCTACCACAGTCTTCTTAGCCAGCTTTGGCCCAGGAATGGTGGGTGAAGGAGATGAAGCACTTTAAAAACATAAAAATAATGGAAATCTGTATGTCACTCTAGGGTTTGGTCATTATTGTTATTGTTATAACAAGAAGAGGAAACTGCAGACTTAGGTTTACATTAAGTGAACTGCGTTTCCTCTGTACATGCTGTGTGTTATAACTGAGGTTTCATGAGTAAGAGCAGATGACGGCTATTGAAAAGGAAGCAAGGGCAGGAAAAATGAAACGGCTTCACCCACCCCACGAACGCTGTGAACTCAGCGTGCAAGCAAAGGTACAGATACAGTGAATGCTTAAGACATAAAAGAGTCATCTAATCTACAGATGGTTTTTACTCCTAATAAACTACTGTAAATAGTATAAGCATCTAGAATCAAGTAATCCATTTAGTGGAGCACCATATAAATACCAGCCTTAAATATGGAAGCAACCTAAGTGCCCATCAATAAATGATTGGATAAAGAAATACGCTTGGTTTATACAATGGAATATTTCTCAGCCATAAAAAAAGAATAAAATTTTACTATTTGCAACAACATGGATGGACCTAGAGGGTATTATGCTAAGTGAAATAAGTCAGAGAAAGACAAATACCATATAATTTCACTTACACTTAAAGAACAAAATAAACTAACAAACAAAACAGAAACAGACCCACAGATACAGAGAACAAACTGATGGTTGCCAGATGGGAAGGAGGTTGGGAGGCTGGGTGAAAAGGTGAAGGGATTAAGAAGTACAAACTGGTAGTTAAAAAATAGTCATGGGGATGTAAAGTACAGCGTAGGGAATACAGTCAATAATATTGCAATAAATATGTATGGTGTCAGATGATGGGTACTAGATTTATAGAGGGGACACTCTGTAAGTTATATAAATGTCTAACCACAATGCTGCACACATGAAACTAATATAAAATAGTATTGAATGTCCACTGTAATTGAGTAAAAAATTAAAATAAATTTTTGAAAAAGAATAAATAAATATCAGCCTTCAGAGCTAATTAGTTCACCTGGTGTCACCCTGGAGGGAGGTCACAGAATAGCTAAGTTTATATTTATCACTAAGGAAGAAAGATCCTTAATATTCATCTTTCCTTACTTTCAGCTTCATTAGGAAAAGTCTATGTAGAAAGGGACACAGTTTCAATGTTTATTTTCACAGCCTCTTTCCTCTCAGAAGCACAGACACTTCTGAGCTGTTAATACATCCATGTTATGACATTCGGGCAAGAAGTAAAAAAAACCTCACTGTTCCATTTTACAATCTTAAAAATGAAGGTTTGAAGGTAATAGAGTAGAGAACCATAAGCAAAGCTGCACATCTTCTACCACTAAATTTCTGTCTCATGTTAAAAGCCTTTACAATTATCAGCACCAAATTCAGATTTCTATTATTAATATTATATATTTGGAGGGTATTATATTCTGATTAGCTGTAATTACAGTATTCTAAATTGAGCTAAATATAAGGCAAAGGCAACACAGGTACCTTTGAAATAAGCATAACGTTTGTGGCTTTAAGATTGATGATTTCTATCCTTGGTGGGGTGGTACTCAACTGTTCGTTTGATTTTAAAAGACCTTGCCCTACACTCAAGTTGCCACTGACCCATTGAACCGGATATGCAATCCACTGTAAAATATATTATTCATTTTAAGGACCACTAGGAAAAAAGAAGCCCCACCACTAAACTAGGACATGTTTTCATATCACCAGTCGTTTTAAGACTCACCCTGATTTCAAGGATGCTAAAAGGTGGGGAAATGTACGTCTTGAAATCAATAAAATACAGCATATGAAAACTGTGGCTCTTGTAATAAAGATGAATTAAAAGGAATATTGTTTTGAGAAATTTAAACCATGCCCTTGAGTATTCAAATGTGCTAAGGACACAGCAGAGGTTAGGAGTCAGTCCTTGATACAGTCACCTTTCAGGGTGCTTGTAACAACTTAGACAAGTCCCTAAACTTTTTCATAGTAAAGTGAAGGCTCCTGAGGCCTCCATTTGAACTTGAAGACAATAGCCCCGAAATTCCGTTACAAGGCTCTGAGGCTGCCGAGTTATTCCCCCCCCCCCTTGAGGTGCCAATTGCTATGACCTGACGTTGCACCATCAGAGGTGTGCTATGGCATGAAAGTGCACAGCCTGCCACCCCCAACAGCTCCTTGCCTCTCCTGGTCAGTACAACCCTGGCATTTGTACTGAGGGCCTTGGAGCAGAACACGCATGAAGCAGTTTTTCCCCCTTCGAAAGGGATGAAAAGAAAATTCCAAGGAAGGAGTCAAGTCAGAGAAAGACATGTATATAAGTATGCGGAATTTTCCTTCCTGAGCAATGCTGGCTAGCTCAGCACTGAGAGTGAAGCCTTACAAACAACAACAAAAAGTCAACACACAGCAATGCGTGGCAGAAGAAAGAGCTTCCATTGTCTTCCCAGCGTGAGGCCAGCTGTCTCCGTTCTAAGGCTCCATCTGAATAACCGCTTTCAGGAGAACGAGCAGAGCGTCTCTTTCCTCCAGTTAAACTACATCCAAACAATGTCACACTTGTTGGAACACAAACATTCATAAGACACTGGGAAAACTCCCTTTCTGATTCTCCTGCTTGGTGAGAATATCTATAATCTGTTCTTCTGTGCTTGTCTATTTCTAGTGACTTCAGATACGTTTGTTTGGTAACTAGAACCGCCCTTGTGCTAAACATAAAAGTACATGTTCTTCCAACATTCATATTCCACAAACTCTCCGATGGGGTGAAAGTCCCAAGGTCAAATTTCAAAGCCATCGAATTAGGATCATAAACAGACATGCATTCATATTTGCTTACATGCGTTCTTATTATATTTCTACATGACTTCTATTGAGAAGAGTTCTCCTATAAATCCAGGGTCATAAAACACTGGCTACGAGCTGTCATTTTTATAAGGAGGATGCTTTGTGAAAGAAAAAAAACCAAACCCGAAAGAATTTAAAATACAATATTCTTTCCTTCAAACATACAACCAGGCAGGCACCTTTCCCACCCCTTCCAATGTGCATCCCTGAGAGGAAAAGGGCTTACGTGTTCAGGTTTCTCCTGTTCCTTTTTGTCTGTCTGCAGAAACTGACAGTTGTCTCTCGCCAGCTTCTGGACCAGTTCAATCCGTCCGATGTCATCTCTCTCCTGAAGCTTGCACATCACCCCCGCCTTGAGAGTTGGAGAAAAAGCGAAGATATACTTAAATCCACAGTCCCAGGACATGACACCGCTGCAAAGTTCACCTTACAATAAGCTCATCTTCTCCGTCGCCTGGACTAAATCATGGTCTTGGTAAAATGTTGGGCCTTTCCAAAATGGAAATTGTATTATTTTAATCTAAGCCTGCCACACCAAAAGTCTCAAAGTTGAGCTCATTTATCAGTCTGCATTAAGAGAGCGAAGGGCAGAGCCAACTAAATCATTTGCTACTAACGTGTGCTTCTGATATGCCACTATTTGTTTCTGACAGCCTGTTTCCTGTTACATAAGCAAAGCCTAACAAGAGGTTAAAAACTCATGGGAAAGTTAGCCAGGAACCACTCCGGCAAAAAGGGTGAAGTGATACAGAGTACTAAAAATAACAGTACACAACCTCCTAATTTTTTTGCTCCACCAGATCATTCCATGTACAAATACACAGTTAACAAGATCACGAGACTCCCCCCCCCCCCCCCCCCCCCGCCACACACTACTGGAAAGTTACTATGGGCATTATTAGTAAAACACCTCCAATGTTACAATGAAATATGGTGGAAAAGTTTATTAAAAATAAGCTGGAAAAAAAAAGCTTAAAATTTCATCAGGGTTTGGAAATGATCCAAGAAACATATTTTTTTATTATGTCAAAGTACCCAAGTCATAATAATATGAAGGAGTAGAATCTAGGACTTTGATTAGGAAAAAAAAATGTTCGTTATAACACACAACTTATGAACTATTTTTGCTCAAATTCTTTCAAAAATGGTTCATGCTGACATATTAGGACATGAGCTAATAAAGAAATCTAAAGTTACTCTTGGCAGGAATAGTCAAAACTATGGAATTTTTGTTTTACCTAATACAACCTACAGGATTTAAATGAACTCAGCAAAATGACCAAATATGGAGAAGAGGCCAGAAGTGATCACAGCTTCATGGTCTTAATGCTTTGTGCTAAAGATACCCATTTTGTTGAGTGGGCATCAGAGAAATGGGACCATAGATGCAAAGCAGTGACTAAATCTTTATTCCCAGGGGCAAGGACATCTCTTTATCTGGCAGTTTCTCCAACAAGTAGGAAGGAAACAAAAAAATCTGTGAAGTGGCCCAAATCACCGATTTTCAGAGGGCAGAAAGTAGAATTCCTCCACCCAAGTCAGAGATTTATTTTTACATCCCTCATAAGAGGTCTTCCAGTTCATTTCCAAGGTTTCTTTGGACAGGAATCTCAGTTTATCTTAAGACAGCCTGTGTACTGTTGAAAAGCCAGAATTGTTGGAAAGTCCCTTATCACACTAGACAAAACTCTGAAACCACTGAACTTCAAAGCAACTAAAACTATGTCTATTTCTTATTCAATATAACAATCTTTCAAATATTTACATACCCATAGTTATGATATCCTCTTTTTGGAATTCCCCTTATATATCTCCCTAGCTCTCTATTTTATTTATTCATTCGTTTGTTCATTCATTTATTCACTCGCTCAACAGATTTTATTTGAGCAACAATCATGTGACAAGATCTCCCATAGGTTTTGGGGATACAGTAGTGAACAACAACAAAGTCCCCATGTCCTTGAGCTTACATTTAATAGGGGATTTGGATTATATAATGTACAGATATGAATTATCAGATGGTAATATATGATAGAAAGAAAAATAAAGCAGGGTGAAGGGTCAGAGAAATGATTGGAAGTGTTATTCAGATAGGAAGGTTAGGGACAGATTCTTGACTAATATGACATATGAGTAGAGAGCTAAAGGAAGCGAGGAAGGGTGTTCTGGCAGAGGAACAAGAGTGTGAGGTCCCTGGCGCTTGGTGTACTTGGCATGTTCAAGGAAGAGCAAAGAGAACAGCATGACTGGAGCCGAGTAAGGGGGAGGGATTAGTGGGACTGGTCAGAAAGGTGATGCAGGACCCGATCACGTAGCTTCCTTACAGACTGTGTAAGATGTTTAGATTCTCTTTCTGACAAATGAGGATCCTTTCGCGAAGGTTTTGAACATAGGACTGGCGTAATCTGACCTACATTTTAACAGGATCACTCCGTCTTCTGGGTTGAGATAACAATGTTGGGTGGGGAGAAGGAGTTGAAGTTAGAAGACCAATCAGGAGCCTGGACTTCAGACAACAAATGGCTTAGAGCTGGTGGTAGTGGTAGAGATGGTGAGAAGTGGTTAGAGTGTGGATATTTTTCAAAGGTCGGGACAGCAGATTGTTTTGTCTCCAAGATGTTTGGCCTGAGCAACTGGAAACGTAGGATTGTCATTTACTGAGATTGGGAGGATGGAGGAAGGAAGTCTGGGAAGGAATATGCCTATGAGATATCCAAGTGGAGTTGCTAGGTTGGCATTCTGGATGTTTGGGGGGCGGGGCAAGGGGGAAGTTCAGGCCAGAGATAGAAATTTGGGAGTCATCATTGTGTAGATGGTATTTAAAACCAGAGGAATGAGTGAGGTTATCCATGGAGTGCTACAAATAGAGAATAGGGGAAATCCAAGAACTGAGTCTCGGGTTTAGATATTGGGAAGATGAGGAGTAATCAGAAAAGGAGGCTCAGGAGTAGTTCTGGGAGGAGAACCTGATGAGTGAGGAAGGAGGTGCTTCAAGGAGGAGGGAGGGGAAACTGTATCAAATGCTCCTGAAATATCAAATGAGATGGATTCAACATAATTGACACTGATCTTGACAAAAGTAATTGGTGACTCTGAACATAGTATTTTTTTTGTTTTGTTTTGGGGGAAAAAAAGGGTAGGGAAAAAGCCTTCTTAGCTTAGGTTCAACACGGAATGAGTGACCACTCTTCTAAGGAGTTTTGTCACAAGAAATGGGGCACTAGCTAAAGAGCGATGCTTGTTGAAGGGAGTTTTGCTTGTTTGAATGCGTAAGCTGAGGGGTGTTCCAGCATATTTATCTTCATTAGAAATCATCCACTATGGAGGGAAATGTGCTGATACAGGAGGGAGAGCGGGCACTTCTAGGAGTAATGTCCCTGAGTAGGAAAGAGCGCATAAAGATCTACTCTCAGAGAGAAACAGGAATAGATTTCACTCGCTGTAAAAGGTGAGAAGGTTAAGTACAGGGGCAAATATGCAGGTAGGTTGTATATCTGGTGGTAGAACCATGTGGTAACTCTTTTCTGAAGGCGTCTATTTCCCAGAAAAATGAGAAGTCAAGTTATTAGCTCAGTGTAAGGACTGTGCGAAGATGCTGGAAGTATGAGAGAAGAAGGCTTGTCATAGTCATTTCAGTTGCAAGGGGTGGCAAGCTTTGTTTGTAAAGAGCCAGCGTGTAAAATTCTAGGCTTTGTGGGCCATGTGGTCTCTGGTGCATCTACTCTGCAGTTTTAGCGCAAAAGCAGCAAGAGACAATACGCAAACGAAAGAGCACAGCTGTGTTCCAGTAATACTTCATTTACAAAAGCAGGCAGTAGGCGCCAAAAGAAAAAGGAGTTTGTCAGCTCCTGCCCTGAGAGAAGAGGAAACTTCACGAGGAAAGTAGAATAAAATTGCCTGCTTGATTTTATTTTTAGATCCTTTTATAGTCCTAGCCATCCTCCTTGCTTTATTTTTGTTTGTCAGGGTTTTAACAGAGCCCATGACCTGAGATAATGCTAAATATGTGGGCCAGTCTTGAAGATGCTTTTTAAATCATCAGTAGAGAGAAAAAGAGGTTCCGTGGTGTTACATTTCCTCCTTGAAACTAAGAAGGCAAGGAAACTGTTCAGGGAAATTTCTACACAAAAATGGTTGGCATTCTTTAAGTGTTCTGACACTTAGAGGAATAAGTTTCTGTTATCTAGAATATTCATGTATGCTGACCATCTAGGGTTTCTTCTCTCTCCATCCATGTCATCCTCACAGTGTTTAATATACTGTCCTGCTAGTGAAGACAGGATGTTAATGACCCTGGGGCCTCAGGACCTGCTCCATGGCTGTTTGCTCAGTCAGTAGTGTGATGGATTAGTCCTAGTCTCTCTCTGCTCCCCAGTGTGGCATCCTGTGGCCTACAGGGCATGTGTGGGACTGGGGACAGGCAGGGATGGTCCACAGGGGTACAGCGCCATGGAGCTAACTGATCAGGCAGGTGGGAATGAGGCTGTTACCTCTTCTCAAGCACAGGCTCCAAAGCTAACCTCCCCTAGACACCGATATGGGCAGGGCCTTTCCTTCTGCCTGTGGGTCCCACATACGTTTTTTTAAAAAACAGATAATATCATCAGCAATAAAAGGGTGGGACTGAGTAGAGGAAAGGAAAGAGAATTTGACTTGTTTCTTTGGTTTCCATGTAAATGTGAGTTTTTAAGAAATTCTAAATACTCTTTGTATCATATGTTTAGGATTCTAAATACAGACTTTTCTTTCTTGAGGAAATACATTTTTATTAGAACCAGATATGTGTGTACACACATTAGGTATTTTAAACCTAAAATGCTATGACTTTTAAAAATGGGTTTCAGGTTGACTTCATTATTATTTCATATTTATAACTAAGTCATCTTATAATTAAAAAAATAATACTGTCTTTGTTTTCTAGTTTCCCCATAGTTCTTCAACACATTTTCACAAGTTAATCAATTCTAAGCAATCCTTACATAACAATGATCAAAAAAAGCTTTCAAGGAAGGTTATGAGTGCTTCTTCATTCTCTGGAGAATTTAAGCCCAGAGAGAGACCCACATATCCTAGATAGTTATAAGACACTCCTCCTTGGAAGCACCTCACTAAACCAGATGTTTTCAGGGGGTCCCTGTCAAAGCTCTGTAATTCAGTGATTTGATTAAAAACACCTATGGATTTATTAATATAGCTTAGGAGCTTTGTTATGGCAAGAGAAGCAAGATAACTAACAGCTCTCAGTCTAGACTTTCACATTCCTGGACTACTTAATTTACTGATGTGAAATTAATTATAAACAGTTTACCTTGCTAGGCCAGAAAAAAAAAGATTAATGTGTAAGAATCAGAA